GTCCACCACACCGCCTCCTCCAACCCTGTCCAGCGACTGTGAACAAGACACAACCTAGAGGACGCTGAACAATCATACGCAGTACGTGTCCAAGCCACCACTGTTGGCGCAGCGAGACAAGCGCCTCGAGGGAGTGGCCGTCTGCCTGACTTCAGCGTTGGTTACGTGGTTCAGCCACCAAACACGGGCGATGGACCACAAGCAACGGTTCACGAAAACGGACAGTCGACGTAGGTCATCGGTAAGAGCAGGCCGTCTCGAAACCGTACAACAGTACAGCGTGGACAGTAACACTATAAACCCGTCCTTTGATGGAGAGACGGATGTCATGGCGGCGCCATAAATAATAATGTGCCAGCTGCACGCCGTAACGGCGCTCCGCTTTAGCGCGACCACGTCGCGCGCGGGCTGAGTATACCGCGAGGAAGCCCATCCCTAAGATGCCCCATAAATGCCTCAGCCTGGAGAAGGCGAGACGAGCTTTTCGGATACGCATCGAAATCTCGTTTCTAACCGCCCCACCAGCAGTTATGCAGCTTCGCAGGTAGACAAAACTGTACTATTTCTAACGTAACCCCCCCCCCCATGGTGAGTGCAGGTAGGAGCATATACCAGTCTTGAAAAAGCGCTTTGTACTTGGATGGTGAAAAAAGCATGCCATAGTTCGACGCTTCAATCGCCAGGCGGTTAAGTGCAAGTTGGACGGCCTGCGGACCGTCACCCAATAAGACGATATCATCAGCGTAATCCAAATCAACCACCCGACTACCTGGGAGGAGCTCAACGCCAGCGTTTAACAAGTCTTCTAGAGCATTTTTGAGGACATCCTCAGTAGCAAAGTTGAAGAGGAATGGAGAGATAGGGCATCCTTGTCGAACCCCACTGGTAACAAGAAAGGAAGGCGAAAGATTGCCATAAGCAAAAACCCTACTCGAGGTTAAACACTCCATAGCACGCAGAATGGAAACGAACTTCCCGGGAATACTATTTCTCAACAGACAGCGCCACAATGCAGCTCTGTCGACAGAATCGAAGGCAGCACGGATTTCCAGGAACACAATAATCGTTGGCTTCTGGTACACATGGCGGAGTGTGAAAATCTGATCGATGCAGCCGCGATCAGGGTGGAACCCAGCCTGTTCTTCTCGCTGTAGTGATTCACGCGTTGGGGATAGCCTGCGGAGAATGATGGACACCAGAATCTTGCGAACGACGGAAACCGAACTTACGCCCCTGTAATTGGAGCAATTTGTGCGCAGACCTTTTTGAAGATGGGGAGGAAGATCCCCCATCTATAAATAGAGTAGGAGGTAGACCATCAGGGCCGGGTGCCTTATAACGCTTTAGTCAGCAGTTCCGCCAGGTGACAGCTGCTGCCGAGGAGGCCATCGGGCGAGCAAACTGTAAGCGGCCTGATTGGTTTGATGAGAACAATGCGACGATCGGCGCATTGGTGTCGGAGAAGAATGCAGCATTTGCTGCACATTTTGCAGATCCCAATGGCTTGGGGAAGAAGAGTCAGTTTCGCAAACTTCGACGGCGACTGACCCGAGAGCTCCGTCGCATAAAAAATGCATGGTGGACGGAGAAGGCGAAGCAGATGGAATGCTACGCCGAACGCCGCCAACACAAGGAATTCTTTGACTCCTTGAAGGTGGTGTATGGACCGAGATTGGAGCCTCTGAGGACACTGATCGATGGTAGTTCAGGCGCTACCTGCACACAGACTGCAGACATAATGCAGATCTGGCGGAAACACTTTGACTGTCTCTGGAACAACCGTTCAGAGATCGACTGGCCTACATTGAACTGCCTGAAGCAGCACGATGTGAAGGCGGATCTGGCGGATACGCCGAGACTGGATGAGACGCAGAGAGCACTTGCTCAGCTGCGAAACGGCAAATGTGCCGGAGGTGACGGGATCCCGCCTGAAGTATTGAAACACGTTGCACCACTTGGTGCAACACATATGGATTGAGGAGGAGGTGCCTGCTGAGCTGAAGGATGCCCTTGTGCTACCACTGTAAAAGGGCAAAGGTAGCAAGTAATGTTGGACGAATTATCGTGGCATCAACTTGCTGAGTTGTATGGGCAAATTGATTGCTCGAATCTTGCTCAACCGCCTGGTCTGTAAGGTTGTGGAACCTAACGTGGCGGAAGAGCAATGCGGATTCCGTTCGGGTCGCAGCACTATAGATATGGTGTTTGCGACACGGCATTTGCAAGAGAAGTGCAGAGAACGACACCAGCCATTGTACTCGCTTTTTGTTGATTTCACCCAGGCATTTGATACGGTGAACCGCGAGGCATTGTGGCTGGTGTTGGGTAAGTTTGGTTGCCCGCGTAAGTTTGTAATTTTAATTGAATGTCTGCACAGTGGTATGCGAGCTAGGGTGCAGCTGAGTGGAGAGACCTCGGATGACTTTGCAGTTGTCTCTGGTGTGAAGCAAGGCTGTGGGTTAGCTCCTGCCCTGTTTAATATATATCTTCATGCAATGTTGTCTTGTGCTTTTGATGCGGCTTGTGGTTACGGTGTTCGTGTGGAGCACCGTATTGATGGTGGGTTGCTGAACATCCGTCGTTTCGGTGCGAGAACTTTAGTCTGTGAGACAACTATCCGTATGTTGCTGTTTGCTGACGACTGTACGTTGTTTTCACACAGCGCGGATGAGTTGCAGCACATGACTAGTGCTCTGGCTTCGACAGCGGCCAAATTCGGGCTCACCATTAACACGAGCAAAACTGTCTGTTTGTTTCAGCCTTCACCGGAGGTACAATATTGCCGCGAATCAGCATTGGTGCTGAAGTATTGGAAACCACCTCCCGTTTCAGCTACCTTGGGAGTGTGATGTCGAGTGATCAGCATTTACACAGTGAGCTGCGTATCCGCGTGTCGAAGGCAGCAGCGGCATTCGGGAAGCTTGAGTACCGAGTGTGGAACAACCATCAGCTTACTGTTGTCACGAAGCTGATGGTGTACAAATCCATGGTACTGTCCGTTCTTCTATACGGCGGTGAAACGTGGACGATGTAGCGTCGGGATGTGCGATATCTCGAGCGGTTCCATCAGCACTGTCTGCGACGGATTTTGCGCATCGGTTGGGGTGCCAGAGTTGTAGACACGGAAGTGTTGCGCCGAAGTGGGATGTATGCAGTGGACGGCATACTTTTACTGCGACACCTGAGATGGCTCGGTCATGTGAGCAGTATGGATACGACGCGGATACCGAAACAACTATCATATGGTCAGCTGAGTATTGGGAAGCGGAACGTGGGGAAACCAAAGTTACGTTACCAGCACATGACTAAAGTGAGCCTCGCACGTTCTAATCTTGATTGCAGGCACATCGGGCATGGCGGAGTACACTGCTTCGCATATATGTCAAATTTTTCGTCGCTCATGAGAAGTAGGCCGTGTTCCGTTGGCTTTGAAAGTGGGTATCGTCAAACCCATCTACAACATGATCCAGCCAGTTATCGTCCAATATGTTTGACGTCGATAGTATGTAAAGTTATGGAACATTTCCTAAAATGCACTATTCATCTTCATCTTGATGGACAGAATGTCATTTCTTATACCCAGTATGGGTTCCGAAAAGCACGTTCCTGTACCTCGAACTTGCTCGTTGCTATGGAGGTATGGGCAAGATCGTTAGACTCCGGCGAAGGCTTGGACGTTGTGTTCGTTGACTTCAGCAAATACTTCGACGCATGAACGGCTTCTGTTTAAATTCCGAGGAATCGATATTTATGGGAACCTGTTTTGGACCTCCGACTTCCTAAACGACAGCACCATGCAAGTGAAAGTGAACGACTAATTTTCCGCCCCCTGTTGTCAGGACGAGTAGGGTCCTACAGGGCTCTGTCCTCGGCCCCGAACTTTTCAATATTTTCATCAACGACTTACCGTCCACTCCTCAGACGGATTGCCTAATCTACCCTGACGACCTAAAGCGGTGGGTTGGAGTATCCAGCCTTGAAGACGCTGACAGATTACAATCCACGCTCGATCTACTCCATTATTGATCGATTAAGTGACGGTTGCTGCTTACTCGTCATAAATGCTCTGTCCTCTGGGTTGGCACGTCAAACGAATTTGAATCTTGTCACATTGGTGGTTCCTTGCTCAGTAGCGCAGCCTATGAGGGATCTTGGATTGATTTCGTCACTAGACTTCATATCTACTCAAAACACCCAGCAGAGGGTCGCCGCAGCCTACAGGATGTTCCGTTCCATACGTAGGGGGCTTTCTCTTCTGACCCCGGGGCTTTTCCGACTCCTGTTTATCTCGCATGTACGCCCGATTCTCGTATACGGGCTATCCGTTTCTATTCCCTCACCAAATCCGAATGTGATATGATAGAGAAGGCTCAACGGCGTGGCTCCAAATCCGTCCCTGAGTTGCGAGACCTGTCTTACCCACTTCGACTTCAACGACTGAATTTGTTTTCTCTAAATTACCGTCGTCATCGCGGAGATTTGATATTCACGACCTATTCTCAGTGGAGAGCTGAGGTGCGAGTCACAGGACTTCTTTCAACTCAACACTGAGCTTTCGACACGAAGCGGTTCAAACCGAGGAATCTCCGTGTGCGGCTCTATCTGGCCTTCTTTACTCGCGTAGTGAACCATTAGAATCGATTGACGACGTCTATCGTCGATGCTGAGACAGAGGAACGTTTCAAACAACTGTTGGATTCTCACCTGAGTGCGCTGAGATTCTGCTGTTTCTAGTGCAGAGGTGGTCCTCTACGGAACCTTGTTTCGCAATGACCCATGCTATCTCCGCAATGATCGGGAAGTGAAGAAGCTGACAAAGGATCTTCCTTCTGCTCTCTATCATTCATTGATCCATCAAGTCGCCTCCCGCTCGGTGGTCCATCGGCGGCTGAGACAGTATCGAGGTGTAGCACAGGCACACCCTCCATCCCGCTCCGACACTTATTAGGTGGTTGTGCTGTAACTGTCCAACCGTCTACACAGTACCTCTTTGCCTTTCAGCCCCCGTTAGTCTAATACAACCCACGTACGCCCCGGAACCGGAAGCCCTCGGAGCCCTCGACCGGACGCATATTACGCGATTCACTTCCAATTTTACTTGTCGAAATTTTAATGTCTTAATGGTAGGTGGCAGCTTCTGTGCTGTCTCCTCTCAGCCTACAATGAAAAATCTGCTGTCTATCTTGCATGGAGAGCTTGCGGATGAAAGAACGACTCTTGCGGCAACCAGCTGTGACATTGAAGGTGCAGCAGCGTTTTGTAGTGACAATTACATTGTTGGTGATGGTTTTTAGTTAACTGGTTTCTTAGGATGCAAAGAGTGGTAAACTGGAACAAACGATGTCGTTGGCTACTCAGTCATTGGGGACGGTGGCGTACCACGTGAGCAGGTTAGCAAATCATTTCCTGGAAGCTATGGATATGCAGTCAGCTATGCTGGCCGAGATTTCCGACCGAATGGAGAGGTTGAGAATGGTAAGATGCTGTTAACTATATCGTACCTCAGATTTGTAATATTCATCAAGAGAAGGTTGCTAGAAAAGCAATAGGGTCGTGCACTACGGCCAAAGTACCAATGGTCTTCCACCACAATATGACTCATCCTGAGCCGCCTCAGAAATACATTCGACAACCAGTGGACTTCTCCATTTTAGATTCTATTGGACATGGTGTTCGAATCCAGGTAAGTTATATCTAAATTATCAGTCAAGATTTGACTTGTTCTATCCTTTGTGTCCACATTTCCTTACTTTACTACTGCTACTCACATTGGCTGTCGGATGCTATGAATAATCGGCAGTTCATCCAAAGTCATAGCGAAGGATGTTTACCTTATTACTTCACCTTCCGTTAGTCCATACTTGGAAAATCGAGTGTTGGCCTGCCCCCGTACTTGGCCAGCGACAGGATGACAGTTGATCGACTCCTATGGATTAGTACTCAACTGGGGTTTGTGTTAAGACATCCGTTATTCTGATCAACTGTCAGTTTATAGATGCTTTCGCTACACAATAGGCGCCTTCGGTAGGGCTTAATCTCCATTATAATATATTGACTGGTCAGATTAGACATGATGCATCCTACTCTTCCATACCGCAGTGTCGCCACTCGGGGTCACTCATTGGAGGTGCATAAGCCCCCATCTGATTAAATTAGTACTGCTTTATGTTTGTCATGAGAGGTTGTATATTTATAGACCCCATCATCATTATTGTACACGTTAGCTGCCGGCAGAAAACAGCTATTTTGCCGCAATGTCCTAAAGATGAGTACAATTGGTGATTGCATACCTGTTTTAGAGTCACACGAGCACACGGTCAAAACAAACATGGAAGTGTGGGTGAAACCTTTCGAGGGACTAACCTGCATGGAAGCAGCTCCCCTGGAGACGAATCCACGGTTGACGTATTACTTTACCAGAACATCCAGGTCTATCTGCGTTTATTATTATTATTATTAACCAATCCATCTATTTACAAGTTGTAATTGATCAATCAGCCTCGCAAAATAGTTTGGGTATTGCTCTGAAAAAACAAGTTGAAGAAATATTATCCGTCCCATTCGATCTCGTTGTACATAATGACCAGGCCAATCAGTTGGACCGTGCCTCGCACCGTCGAGGAATATACCCTTTATTCATTTGTTTATTTAACGGATGGACCTCGTTCCGGAGAGCTAACAACCGGCTATTGTGCCGCAAAGTAGTCATAGTATCCCTTATAATTGAGATTGTGGTTGGAGGAAGAGGCTAAGCAAGAGGAAGAGGGACAAAGAAACACACGACACAAACGCCAGTGAGGTCGACTCCTGGCCACGTCAACAAGTGTATCCAGCCAAACGTGTTCATCGTCCTTCGGTCCCCAACCAGGGAGCCGAGAGGCTCCAACCGAGGCCAACCTCGAAGTAAGGGCCTCATTCCTCCAGACCAAGTCATCGCTCGGCCACCTCTCCTTTTCTTCCGTCCACAACCCCGGCGCACAAACAACGCACATCGTGGGAGTCGGTGGGCTGTCATGCGCAACACGTGGCCCAGCCATCGTAGTCTGGTGCTTGAAATAACAGTGCTGAGCGGTTCACTTGCTTTTCCTGTGCCGCAAACAAGGCGTCGAACAGGCTCATTGCTCGCACGGTGTTCCCGCCAGATATGAGCCAATCCGCGAAGGCACCGGTGGTCGAACGTAACTAGCCTCCTTATGTCTGCTGATCTAATGGGCCAGATTTCACAACCGTACAGTAGGGTCTAACGTACGGCTGCATTGCACACTCTACTCTTCAGGGAGAGTGATGTCGAGCCGGCGCCATAAGTGGCCTAGGTTAAAAAAACGCTCCGAGATTTTGCTATACGGTTTGTGACCACTTCTTCAATTCCGACGGCGCTGATACAATGACCTAGGTAGTCGAACTTTTGAACGACTTCTAGCTGATCTCCACCAAGGGTCAGCGAAGGAGGTGCTCCCTGCCAATCTTGGAGGATGCAAAGCATAGCCCGAAACGGCTGATGGCCAGTGCGAATCTGTCCAGTGCCACATGGCATGTTTAGGAGCTGTTACAGATTAGGGCAATATCGTCAGCATACTCCAAGTCAAGAAGTCTTTCGCCTAGGAGCAACTCCACACCTATGTCGTGTCCTGTAAACGCGCTTTTCATGACTTCGTCAATAGCGAAGTTGAAGAGGAAAGGTGATAGCGAGCATCATTGTCCTACACCGCTGGAGATATTGGAAAGCGGCGACAGCTTGTCGTAAGCCCTCACTCTGCCCGAGCTACGCGCGTAAAGCGCTCAAACAATATTTACATATTTATCGGGCACACCTTAGCACATTGATCCACCGAATCGAAGGTACCTTCGATGTCGAGGAACACGACTACGGTGGGTCACCAATATATGTGACGACGCTCCAACAAGTGACGCAAGGTGAATATGTGATAGATGCAGCCCCGACCACGACGAAATCCGGCTTGCTCCTCACGAATTTGACTTTCATGAGTGCTAGTTAATCAGTGAAGAATTACAGAGGCGAGCAATTTGGAGGCGATAGAGATCAGACTGATTCCTCTATGACTGCCGCATTCCGAACGTGTGCATCACTTGGAGACCGGGACAATAACGGAACGGCTCCAGTCGGTTGTGACAGTTTCCTGCTCACACTGTTTTACTAGTAACTCGTCTATATCATCAACAAAAGCAGTGCCCGAATTTGAAGAGGGCTGGATGAAGATCATCTGGTCCCGCAGCTTTATGCAACTTCAACAGTCAGACGTTCGGGTTCTGAGCGACAGGGCGGAACTAAAGTGACAGCTCGTGGAGCGGGGCGGTCATTGGCTAGGGTAAAATCTAACAATTCCGGCCGATACATTTGCCTTCCAAAATGCGTAGCCAAACGCTAAAAGCGTTATGATAAGTTTTGCATAGGCTGTCCACTTTTGTCACGGATGGTTTCACTAAAATCAAGTCTCCTGCTGCTCGTTTCCCGTATCTGACGAAACAACTTCCGATGGTTACAAATGGCAATGGCCACTTCCATTTCTGATGCTCGATGAGACCACAAGGATTCGCGGTCTTTCTTCTGGCTGTCAGGGAGGTTTACCCTGATATCTTCGCGAGCCTCACTGTGTTCCATTGCATCCGGAATGTGCCGGTGAGCGTCCATAAGTCCCAGAGACTGCGAAGTGACCCTATGTCTATTTTGGCTAGTTAATTTACCACATGATTTACCTGCTGCTAGTAAGGTCTGGTGAACATGCCACCAGTGATCTTCAGCCGTATTCAGTGTGCACTCGCTTAGCCCGAAGGCCAGCGTACTTCCTTACGCACTCAGAACACTTGGCTTCGCCAGTTGGCTGGTGTCTATGCGCTAACGGGGTCGTCGAAGGCGACTACCAGAACGCTCCCGCAGATCAGCATATACAATTGCATAGTCAGTGTCAGTGTGCTCCAAATCAAGCGATAGTTTTGGACGCAGCCGCGCTTCCCAACCATATGGTATTAGTGTCAACGGTGAAGGAGTTTAAACATCCACTCGACGCCCTTGGTCAGCAGTTTTAAATCTTCTCCTTTGTATCCTAACTTCTTTTTCTTAGACTTATCTAATTTTGTTATTGTTGCCTCACCCCATATTTCGCTTTTTGCATCATTGATCTACGCCTACTCTTTAATTTTCTCTTGTTCCCTCACCCCTTTTATTCCTCTCGTGGCCGGTACAACGAAAGCTGCTCGTGTAGGCTACATGGGCATTCATCATCATCATCATCATTATACATGTCAGCTAGAGATGGTAAAACACCTCCGCTATTGTACCACAATACATAAAGGAAATACATACATACATACAATACATAAAGGAAAAATAAATACGACAGTTGAATGCCAGCTGAGCTACCAGCAACGGATACGCATCGTTCCGGTAAGCTACTAGCCGGCTACTAGGCAAAAACAAAAATTTAATTACGTTTTACCCTACGAGATAAGATCGTAGATGGAGGGGGAGGCTAAAGGGATGGGGAGGGGCAAAGAAACTCACAGCAGGAACGCCACTGAGGTCGGCTCCTTGCCATATCAGCAAGTGTATCCAGCCAAACGTGTTCACCGTCTTTTGGACCCCAACCAGGGAGCCGTGAAGCTCCAACTGAGGCCAGCTCCGAAGTGAGGGCCTTCATTCCTCTGGACCAAGTCATCGCTTGGCCACCTCTCCTCTTCTTCCACCCACATCCCCGGTGAGCAAACAACGCACGTCGAGGGAGTCGGTGAGCTGGCATGCGTAACACGTGGCCCAGCCATCGGAGCCTGGTGAGTGAAATGACGGTGCTGAGCGGTTCATTCCCTTTTCCTAGGCCGTAAACAAGACGTCGAACACGCTCATTACTCACGCGGTGTTCCCACCAGATGTGAGCCAAACTGCGAAGGCACCGATGGTCGAACGTAAGTAGCCTCTTCATGTCCGCCGATCTTAGGGGCCAGGTTTCGCAACCGTACAGTAAGGTCCTACATGGGCATTGATTGATTGTGATGTGATTCATACGCAATGATTTAACCCTTTTCGGCTTAAAATTCATTGAACAAACTCTGCTGAAGCATCCATGGGAATTTCTACGGTTGCATTCTCACTTGAACCTAAACTTTGCTGCAATCAGACGATTTCACAGTGTGTTGTGTTTTCTTTTACTATTTCTGTACTTTGTTTTGAGTTCCATGGTTTCCGATGACTCAATGCCTATTCACAGACTGTTGCAATATATATATATATATATATATATATATATATATATATATATATATGTATAGCCCCAACTCGCGCGCGACCGCTGGTGGTCGCGAAGCATTGGTACGAGATACTGGTGCACTACTGATCCCCTACTGTACGTCCATTTAAATGTACTTTTCATTGGCCTGGTAAGATGTCATTCCCCTGGGTTTTTTCAGAATGCACTAATTCTGCTTGAATACTCCAACTCCTTTCACAGGAACCCGCGTTAAATCAGTACGGATCCACTATTAGCCACATCGGCACAGTCCAGCGTAGAAATAGTGCAGCCAATTCTCTACCAGTCCACAACGTTTTCGGACCTCAGCTGAGCGCGGCTGGTTGCAGAACTGTGGGCCCAAAGACCGGTATTGCATACGCAGCTCCTGCTCAGTGCGTCGGTGGTATCCGCTATCAAAGTACGCCAAAAGACCATTCATTTATCTGAATACGAGCTTTTGTCCCTAACATACTCAACTTTCATAATGTTAGTGAGACTATTTATTTTAGACCAGCATATTTACGCCTTACCCGACGGGTGGATTACAGCAAACGGGATTCTGATCTGTCCGCTGTTTGTTAAGTAGCAGTAATTTAAGTTGCGCATCACTTTGTTGCCCCTGATTTCTAATGAAACTCTGTTTTTCCTCTGTCCTTTGTTCGCCTACGCCTTCAGTATTGCTGTTCGATGCCTCTTCTTGACCCATTGTTGTTTCTCACTCACACGGGATCTCAATCCGTTGTGTCAGATTTAATTCGGTCACCGGTTGGAATCCGCATTGGGATAGGCGTCCTTGCGGTATAAACAGTTCACGCGCGACTGTGGTCACGCGACAGCGAAGCGCCGTAACGGCATACAGCTGACATTATTTTTTAATTTCTGATCGTTTACAGTCCATACAAAACTGTTGAATTCTTGAATTCACATTTGTTTGATGATATACCGCTTCACTTGTAGGTTCGCTGTGTCGTCACGTGAAAGGCACATATTCCAGCAGCGGAAGAACGAAAAGATATTGGTTACTGGATTTTGGGCCACTCACGATGTTTGTATTGCGGCATACATTCTCAGTTGGGATACTTGTTTACTTTGTGGTAACCCTCGACCATTCTGGTCATTGCTGCTGAAACGGGAATGAAGGGTTTTGGAGTTATCTGCTCCCAACACTGCATTCCACGGTCGGTTTCCTCTTCTTTCGGACTCTACGATTAGAGATGTTTGAAGCTGGGATTGAAACTGTGGATATCCTTGACGATTGGCGCCTTGGTCACTAGGCTCCGCATGCATCACTTGACAGCTCCGATCACATTTGCCTGAGTAGTTTAAACATGGACGAACCCGGTTTGGGAGTGCAGTGTCGAGTGTGAGCGGCATCAGCACCCTCCACAGAAGGCTGTCTCCTCTTTATGGCGAAGCCATTGCTACCCCAGCGTTATCCTCTCTTTTGCGTTTTGTCCGTAGCAGGCCGCCGCTCGTCCTCAATCCCAACAACAACGACGACGACGACGACGACGACAACAACAGCAACAACAACAGAACACCAGACATCTGAACTGATTCCTCGCTGTCATACAACCATGATGACTTATGAAATAAAGAATAAGAAGAGGGAGAGAAGGGGGACATACCTGCAAACCTTAATGCCCTTAGAAAACAATCAGGGTCAAGGCGCCTACACCTTGTGTGGGCAACATACCGTCACCAACAGCTGGCTATCGTGCAAAGATAAGGTGGCATCGGCGAGACAGCTTCCTTGTGGCTTTTACTGCCCTGTGTCATAATCAGCCATTACCCCGCAGATAACTCAGCACCAAACACATTTTAAACAGGCAATCCGATAAGGAGACGGCAGCAGACGCGCCACTGGTGTCATTTGCGAGTTATGTCCCGTAGTCTCGAGCCAAGCACAAGGCGAGTCACGTGGACTCCAACCCGGAAGGCGAGACGGACCAACGGCACCCAGTTGGGTCGCCAGTGACTTCATTTCACGTTGCCAAGTCAACTTCTGTCCACCTCGATTTTTGCGCAACTAATACTTCTGGCAGAATAAACAAGCCCCTCCTAGGTAAGCGGTGACTAGGCATACGTAGCACGTGCCCAAGCCACCACAACTTATTCAGTGCTATTTGTTGTTCTAAGGAACAAGGAAGATTACGACTATCTAGTACTCGCCTACGCACAGTATCGTTGCGAACACGCTGGTGCCATCCGACAGCAGCAATGCTTCATAGACAATCATGATCAGGTCTTCAGACCGAAGGGGCAGAGCAGAACGGCCCTCACTGTGGTGTTGTATACACGGGCTTTCAGACGGAGGGAAACTCCCTTCTGTCGCCAAAGATGCCGCAGGTTCAAGAAGGCAGTTCTGCGTTGAACTCACTTCAGTTTTTATGCGCCCATCGTTGCTGATGCAACTGCCATATAAGTGAATAGATCAACCACCTCGAGTTTCTCGTTAGCAAGCATCAAAAGGGTCATCAAGTGGCTGGTGGTCCTGCAGCAACACTTTGCACTTTGAAGGTGCGAAGCGCATACCAAATAATGGGACCACTCTGGACAGGCTATTCAGCGTTGATTGTGCCGCCCCAACATAGTCGAAAAGCAAGACGATATCGTCCGGATAATCTAGATCAACTAACCTTTCAACAGGCAGCACATCAATGCTTACATCGTGAAATTACGCAAGGGAACCCTCCATGATAGAATCCAAGACTAAATTGAACAAAATGGGGAAATCGGACAACCCTGACTAACGCACTTGTGATCGGAAATCTATCAGATAGGACACCGTAGACCCTGACGCGGTCTGTAGTGTTCGAGTATAGAGCACGTAGGATGTTCACATATTTCGTGAGAACAACTTTCCGCGCATGTATTTTGAACATAATGCATCGATCGACAGAATCGGACGCACTCTTGAAATCGAGGAACGCAGCTATTGTTGGTCTGCCATATGCGTGGCGCTGCTCTAACACCTGCCGCACAGTCAATATATGGTCTTGGGTTGAAACCTGTCTACTCTTCCCTAATCCGAGATTCGCTCCAGTTGCCTGGACACTCTCTTGCTTCCAGATCCATTCGAATAGGGAGGTCAGTGCTTTGCAGAGGACCTCACCTCCATCCTTAAATAATGCAGGTGGGAGGGAATCCGGGACAGCATCACGAAAATGATTGAGGGCTGTGACTGCGTTTCGGAACTCAGCCTCCGACGGAGCCTCTAAACTAATCGTCCATGGTTCGTCCTGCATCACCTGAGTAGGAAGAGGTCCGGGAGCAGGGAGCCACATGAACTGATCTTGAAAGTGTTCCGCCCAACGAGCCATATGGCGCTCCTAATTGTGTACCAGTGCACCCGCGCTGTTTCTGATTGTCTCACTGATGCCTGGTTTTCTGGGACCGGTAGTGCGGATTAGCTGGAAAAACTTGCGATAATTGCCTACATAATTGCCGCCTGGCTGAGCTTCTGTAGAGCTCAGACACCCTACTTGTGCGTTCATATCCCCTGCAAGTACTATAATATCTGAACTAGTAGCACTGCGTAGTAGCGGGTTCAGTTCGTGATAGAATGTGTCCTTGACAGCATTAGAACTTCAGTGGGTGGGAGCATAAGTGAAAATCACAAACAAACAGTATCTTGTACTTCTTCATGAATCAACGCTAGCTGATGTCGTCAAACGGGCTGCATATGAACGGCTGTTCACCGGAATCCAATCAACCAACGATAGCTCCGCCTTGGAGCTTAGAATGATACCTACACCAGCTTGACCCGTGAGTGCTGCATCGGCGTCTCCGGATGCGTGCAACCAATAACGAGAGGATAAGCCGGGTGCAGTTAATTCGACAACCCCGTTAGGGTCATTGATCCTAGTTTCGGACACACAACACACATCAATACCCAGTGTGTCCAAGGTGCGTGCGAATGCATCCTGTTGACCTATTTGTCGTAGAGTGCGATTGTTGAAGGCCGCCATCGAAACGGGACAGCGTGGCCTTATTATGCATTGTTGCCGATAGGTGTCGTGGGAAGGTGGCTGCAGGTAGTCCTACTCCAGTAGCACTTCGGTTGCTGTCAATTAAGCTGGGAAGTGTAGAAGGAAGGTTAGTAATGGGGCTCGGGATAGGAGTAAGGGAAACGGGTGGAAAACAGAAGGGAGGCGCCGGCAATGGCATGTTTTCGCTTATCCGCCTTGCTGAATGCTGCAGATAAGGCGACCCTTGATAATCTGCGCGACAGCCGATGCAGGATGAAGTTTATGTTTGAAGAAAAATTCATGGTTGTATGTTGGCTGAGATACTGCGAGGGCACCCAGACCTAGACAGGAGGACGATTAGGGTCCTCATCCAAAGCCTTTGACTCATAGCCTATCTGTAAGACAACGAGGATGTGGCATTGATATCGTTTTACAGAAATGGACGCCATCCCATTTCAAACATTCAACCTGTAGAACCAGGAGACTGAGTTTGTCTGACCTCACCATTGACCAAACTGGTAGGTGTAGCTCTCAAGGGGTTCGGAGACACCATACAGTATCGCTCTATGGGTCAAAGCGGTACGTAAACCGTCGCACCACGTTAAGGTCCAGTCTCGTTGCGACGGGCTATCGGTTTATCCCAGGATATACTTCACATATTCACGACGATCGTTTCCTTGTTGGTTTCTCATTCTTTTATCATAGGTTTGAGGTATCACCCCTAGAACTTTTCGACAGCGTTTTGGAAATTTGGTGGGCTACTAGAGATAGACGATGAATTAAAGAAGATTTGATTCAAATAATCGATCCGTGACTTTCATTTGCTTTTAAATCGTTGTATTGTTTTTCTTACTTAGATGTGCCTCTTTCTAGCTACACCGAACCTGTTTTGCACCGTGGCCACTAACTCCGTCAGGAAATGGATGAGTTATCATAATTAGGCTGAATAAACTGCATGGAAATTTAGCTCTTCAATAAATCATACCCTATCTTTGAGCAGATTATTGCGTACTTTCGGTCTCATAAGATGTTCAATGGCTGTAAGTTAGCCCTGAGTTGAACCGCTCCAGTTTTCCGCTACTTGTATCTGTGAGACCATTGCATTTATCGGATTAGCCTATCGATTACATTGTCATATTAAAAATGTTACTCGCACGTAATGCTAAAGCTTATTCATTATGCTCCTCGTCGTTGTTTAGGTGGCACTATCGGTCGAACTGCTGGCATTTATCGCACCGCTGTTGTCCCTCCTCAACACCTTTTTGGTTCCCTTAGTGGAGGTGGAGTTACCCATCAACTTTCTAGCGGCAGCGGAAGTAGCCCTGCTTCAGGACAACTTTCGTCTATCAACTATGCACCTGGAGGAGCAGCTTTTTCTGCCAGTCAAGCTGCTGCTGATGTGTCTGGTGCTGCATCAATACTGACAAATCACTCGGGCCGTTCTAGCGGATCTTCCAGTGTTGGATCTAGTGTTCAACAATACGCAGGTAACCATCAGATGCATCCGGTATATACACAACAATACCCGATGGGCCAAGCAACACCTTCTGTTCCATCGCACTTGCAGCACTCCAGAGTGAGTATTTTGATTTTAGCACATTAATTCTTCTGTCTTGGAAGACAGTACTAAGTGGCGCTCGAAGTTGAACTCTGTGGGATTCTCCTTACTATTCTCTGGCTATTAGACGGCTCGGTAAAGCGGGAAAATTAAGGTTTTCTGACATTTTATTTTGAGTTTTTAGCCATCACCATAATCACTAACAGCAATGCATCAACCATTAGAAGTAATACTTCGGTGTTGTACGAACACCGCCCTAGATGTATAATAATGAGAGAAGAGGGACCTGGTGCAAAACTCAAATACCTTAAGCAAACATGATATATTCTGTCAGCGACGCAGGGTCACAAACAGACGGATATCACGCGGATCTAAGTAGATATCACGGAGATAGCTTCCTTGCGGTTCTTAGTTCCTCGTGTCGTAATCAACCATTACTACACTGATAATTCAGTATCAAACGCACTTTACACAAGTAGTCTGACTAGAAGACGGCAGCAAGCGCGCCATTGGTGCCGATTTCGAGCTGTGTCCTGTAACATCTCGAGTCAAGCACAAGGCGAGTCACGCGGAAGTCGATCTGGACCAACACCACCACCATTTCGATCTTCAGAATGTAAAGATCGTAGCACATGGAAGTACAAAACACGCGAGGGAGTTTTTGGAAGCCTGGTACTCTGCAACGAATTCAATCAATCGACACATCGAACTGGCGAACGACCGCCAACTCGATCGATTGAATCCGGTGGAACGTGTGACTAGACAACCAGAACTGACGGCAGACTCGCTCGCAAGAGCAAGCAGACAAAGACCACGAAACACAAGGAGGCAAGGTTAAAGGTCATCTGCCCATCAACCAAGCTGAACGCGGATTGAAGTCCCAAGCAATAGGATTGCTCGTATCCACGGTCAACCACGGCGGTATAAAAACGTACACACACCACGCTCAGTGCACTCTCATCGAGGCTCCTCTACGCTACTCCACGTTACTGCACGTTACTCAACTACGCACTGATTATGTCACCTCGATTGGTGACGAAACGTTTACAACAAAATTGCCAAGCTCAGCGAACAGTTCAACCGTCATCAACACCTGGTTTAGTCGTCAGTGCCTTCATTTTCCGCTGCCAAGTTAAACATTAGCACACCTCAAGCGTTGCCCCATCTTGCATCTTGCAAACAAACAAAGCCCTCATAAACCGTTGAGGGGCATACGTATTACGTGCCCAAACCAACTTGGCTTATTCGTTGTTATCTATTGTTCTAAGGTACTAGCTCAACACTCGCCTACGCACATCATCGTTGTGAACATGCTGGTACCATCCGACACAAGCAGTGCTTTCCAGGCAGCCATTTGAAGCACAATCGCTCATGTATTTCCCACCTAACTTACCTGTATAATAAATAAATGGCCGCACTTTGCGATGATCAAAGACTCGAATGCGCTTCGCGCCCCCATTTCGAAGGATAAAGTCTCGCTCCCATAGCCTAGGACGGTCCTCACTTTGTTCTTGTAAACACAACCTTTCAGACGGAGGGAAACTCTGTTCTGACACATCAGGTGTCGCAGATTCAAGAAGGCAATTCTAACTTCTGTCATTCGTACACTGACCTCGGTGACTATGCACCCATCATTGATGCAGCTGCCAAAGTAAGTGAATTGATTAATTACCTCGTGTTCCTAGCTATTAATAGTCAATAGATCATCAAGTGGCTGGTGGTCCTGCAACAACACTTTGCACTTTAAAGGTGCGAAACATATCAAATGATGGGATTACTCTAGAGAGTTGTTGACTGGGCCGCCCCAACACTCTTAAACAGCAAGTCAATATCGTTCGCACAAGCAAGATCAACTGGCTTATCACCAAGCAGCATTTCAACGCCTGAATTCTGCGATTCCGCAAGGGAACAATCCATCATGAAGTCCACGGCGACATTGAACGAAACTACGGACGCCACTCGTTGTCGGAAAGACTTCTGGCAAGTCACCGTAGCCCATGGATCGGCCTATGGTGTCCGAATACCTGGCACGTAAATTGTTCAGCTATTTCGTGAGAATACATTTCTGTGCAAGTATTTCGAGCAGAATGGCTTGATCGACTGAGTGGAACACAACTATTGTCGGTCTGTGGCACGGGTGGCGCTGCTCTAGCACTTACCGCAGAGCAAGTATGTGGTCCATACACCCCCATCCTAGGCAGAAACCCGCTTGCTGCTCCCCAATCCGGCATTCATTTCCCGCAGCGAGGCGACGAACGAGAATTGAGGCTGGTCATTTTGTTACCACTGACATTAGGCCAATACCCCTGTGATTAACACAATTGGGGTTAACTGCGCTTCCTGTATATTGCCACTATAACGGATTCACCCAAGTTAGCTGGTATGGTCTTGCATCGAACTTCAACGCCATCGGTAAGTGGTACGGGGGCGAGGGGATCCGGACCAGCAGCACGAAAACGATTAGGGGCTGTGATTGCGTATCGGAATTCAGCCTCTGACGGAGCCTCTAAACTAAATGACCATGGCTCAGCCCGCGCCAGCTAAGTGATAAAGGGCCTTGGAAGTGCTCCGCCCCATACCACGCTCCTTATTGTGAATCATTACACATGCGCTATCTCTGATTGTATCACTATTGCCTGTTTTTTTGGGATTAGTGGTGTAGTTCAGTTGGAAGAGCTTGCGGCGATTTCCTAATGCTCCCGCCTCCTCCATTACTTGAGTCCATCTGGTCCACCAGGCTTCCTTGTCAGCGCGCAGGCTTCGCTATAGTTTGCGGTTGATGTTCCGTCTGGTCACATTGTGCTCAGAGCCAGCCGAGCGTCTTCTCCTGGATTCTAGAAAGTTCACCGATTTCCAGTGACTGGTGTGGTGACGATTGCTAGTGTTGCATATGCAGCGTCCCGCGTCCTACGTGGTGGTCCACATCTTATTCCACTGAAAGTGTCGTTAGGACGAGAGAACGAAAGTTCGGTCTGCAGATCACCCTGGTAGACTTGCATGACCGATGATTGAGATAACTTCTGTTAGCAGTTACGAGGTATACGCTTGGTATGCCTCCCGGTAAAGTTCGTGGAAAAGCGACAGCGTACCAAAGCATAATCAAAGTTGGCGCAAGTATTTCAGAACGAAAGACAATCTAGGATAGAATCATGCCACCTGTAAGTTATGGCAATGTGATTTATTTGGGCCCATTGCTGGCCAATTATAGGTGGACGCCAAGGGGCGCTTCGGTATCCACTGTGTCTAAAAGCACACAATTGCAACAGACGCTGACTCTTGTTCGCGCGGTCAGAGTTAAGTCCATACTTACCACCTAGCTGAGCTTCTGAAAAGCTCAGGCGACCTACTTGCGCATTCATATGCCCTGCAACATTAACCATATCTGAACCGGTAACACTACGAAGCAACATGTTCGGTTCGTGGTAGATGTCATTGGCAGCCTCAGAGCGGCAGTTGGTGGGAGCATAAGAGGAAACCACAAACAAACGGTGTCTAGTACTACTTCGTGAATCGACTTTAGTTGGAGTTCAGAACGATGCCCACCCCAACGACCATTGACTGCCACACCAGCTTCTCCGGATGCGTGTAACCAACAGCGAGAGGACAAGCCGGGCGCAGTTAATTCAGCAACTCTGTGTGGGTCATTGATCCTAGTTTCGGATACGCAACACACGTCGATACCTAGTGTGTCCAACGTTCGTGCGAGTGCAGCCTATTGACCAATTTGTCTTAGCGTGCGAACATTGAACGCCGCTTGGGAAACCGGACAGCGTGGCCTTATAAGGGACTGTTGCCGATGGGCGTCTATGGTTATGCGAGAAGATGGCTGCATATGGTATGACTACAGTGGCATTGCGGCTGCTGTCTATTAAGCTGGGAATGAGAATGAAGGTTTGGAAGTGGAGTAGGAGAGACAGATGAAAACTAAGGGAAACGCCGTCAGTAGCATGTTCTCGCTTATCGACCCTACTGTATGCAGCAGATAAGACGACCCTTGATAAGCTGCGCGACGGCCGATGCAGGATGTGGTTGAAGTTTGAAGAAATAGTCATGGTTGTACGTGGGCTGAGATACTGCCAGGGCGCCCAGACCTAGACGGGAAGACGATTAGCGTCCTTTGCCAAAGCCTTTGGCTCAAAAACTTCTCGTCAAGGCAGCGGGTAGATGGCAATGATATCGTTTTACTGAAATTGACGCCATCAAATTTCCAAGCCCCAACCTGGAGGACCAGGAGACTGAGTCTGTTTGACCTCTAACCATTGACCAACCTCGTAGGCCTAGCTCTCTGGGGCCTTGCAAGCACCATTCGGTATGGCTAAATGTGTGCAAGAAGTATACAAACCGTCACAGTACGTTAAGATCCACTCGTTACGACGGAGCTCGAGCCCTGTGCCATTTGACATCCGGGAAACAGGACTAAGCGTTCCTTGGCCGGCGGTGATCGAGCATATACATCACATACGTTTGCTGAGGCAGCTTATTCGAAATTATTTATTGTTTCCTGCCCGAAAACTGCGCCCATCGACGCGTTTCGATCTTGCTTGAGCTCATCAGGCCGGCCTCAGGCCCGAGACCATTGGGATAATAACTGAAACCTCTACCCCTTTGGTTACCGAGTTACTACAGGCAACGCTTGACACAACGGTTAATGACTGGTTGGAAGGTCATTTGAAGTATTCGTTTTGTGAATGCAGTGAGACGCGCAATCTCATTGTAGACTGCGATTCACATTGAAGTGAACCTTAGTCAATACGGTCCCTGGAACCATCTCCAAAGCAGATGGGAATTGGGTGTTACTCGCCTGAAAACATTGCACAACGAGACTGGACCTTAATGTGATGCGACGGTTTACGTACCTCCTTGACCCACAGAGCGATGCTGTATGGTGTCTCCGAACCCCTTGAGAGCTACTCCTACCAGGTTGGTCAATGGTGAGGTCAGACAAACTCAGTCTCTTGGTCCTCCAGCTTGGGTGTTTGAAATGGGATGGCGTCCATTTCTGTAAAACTAAATCATTG